TGCTGGTACATGCCTGTAATCTCAGCTACTCCGGGCGTGCTGGTACATGCCTGTAATCTCAGCTACTCCGGGCGTGCTGGTACATGCCTGTAATCTCAGCCACTCCGGGCGTGCTGGTACCTGCCTGTAATCTCAGGTACTCCAGGCATGCTGGTACATTCCTGTAATCTCAGCTACTCAGGAGGCTGAGGCACCAGAATCGCTTGAAGCTAGGGAGGAAGAAGTTGTTGTGAACTGAGATCACACCACCGAACTCCAGCCTGGGTGACAGAGGTCTCAAAAAAAAAAAAAAAAAAAAAAGGTAAAGTAACAGAAAATGCCAGAGTACAACTTTTGTTTCAACTGACACATGTGTTCTGGGTCACAAGAGAAAATGCATTGCTTCCTATAGGCTAAGAACAAACGTTTTGGAGAATGCTGAGTTAGGCTAACCCCTATCTTCTGTTCATTTTTCCTTCCTATACAAAAGAATTCTCCATGTTAGTTTTGCCCTGTAAGTTGTTCCTGGGTTTATTTATAGCCACTAGAATACTAGGCATGGAGATGCTGGGTGATAAACCAGAAGAAGCCGGCCAGGGCCAGAGGCCTCTCCCCACAGACAATACAAACCGTGGGGTCAGTTTGGCAAGTAGGTGACTGGTTTGGGGAAAATCTTAAGGCTCCACATCCCTGGCCAAGTCTGAGGCTCCTCCTCCACTTCTAAACTGAGGGTGCCAAGCTAAAGGCCTCGTGGGCTGCACTCACATCCACGTTACTTAAAGGGACCTGGACCACACCCAGCTGGCACAAGGGGTGCATGGCCTGGGCCCTTCAGAAGTGGGTGGCACCGTCTTGGGAACATCCCGTAACCCCAGCTCTCACTTTCTGTTTGCATTCTCCCTTCTCCCACCATGGGCCCCTGGGCCCACCTTGATAAAGAAGCCAGCCCCTCCCTATAGGCAACTTCGGTCAGAGAGATGGGGTCCTGCATGCTAGAGCGAGACACAGTCACACTGGGCTCTGACAGGCAGGAGGGGCGGGAGCCGTAGACCAAGGGGTTCCGGGTTCCAGTCCCATTTCAGCCTCCTAGTCCACACCGCCGCTCTTACCCGAAAGTCGTGGGCAGTGTCCTTCACTGGCTGCAGGCGGTGCCCCTGGTGCCGGGGGTCGGCCTGGCAGGAGCAGCACAGCAGCTCCTTGTCCTCGAGGCAGAAGAGGCTGAACTGGCCACGGTGCAGGCGGCAGACGCGCTGGAAGCGGTAGCCGGTCCAGCGCGCGCCCTCGGCCTCCTCCTGCAGCAGCTTCTCCACCAGATTGTTGAGGGTGTGGTTGGTGCGCAGGTCGGCCGGCGAGGCGCGGTCCTTGCACACCGGGCAGGTGGGCGACACCTGCACCTCCCAGCAGCGGCTCACGCACCCGCGGCAGAAGTTGTGGCCGCAGCGCAGAGTCACGGCATCGCGGAAGGGGTCGTAGCAGACAGCGCAGAGCAACTCCTCCTTGAAGGAGCGGGAAGGCCCAGGGGACACGTCGGGGCTCGGCTCCATGGCACGAGCCACCGGCACCAGTGCCCAGAACTTTTGCTGCTGCGCCTCCCACCCGACTGGGTGCCCGCGCCCGCAGCCCTAGTTGTAAGTATCGCCCAGCCCCTCCCCCCTAGAACGCTGAGAGACAGCCGTGCTGGCCAATCGTGCGGGGGCGGTGCTCGGAGGAGCCCCACCCACTTCCGTTATGCCTGGGAAATCCTGGGAGAGAGGGGCAGGCCTTGTGCCCGCAGTCCCGCCTGCTCAGGTCCGGGCGGGTCCCTGGCCTGGGTAGCACGGAAGGGTCTCCTGGGCGGCCCGATAGGGCTTCCGTGTCATTGGAAACCTACTTCCGGCTAGGAAATGGGAAAAGGAGTTCCTTCCTTAACCAATCTCAGGGAACCTCAGGCCCACGGGTAGGAGAAACCAGAGATCCCAACTTTCTGCTTCCGATGTAGTGGCTGGGTCTCAAAGCACCGTGAGTGCAGTCACCACTTAGGGTTTGCAGCGCCTTTTTGAGGACCTGTGCCACTCTTGCGTTAGTCGTTTACTTACTTTGGCCAGTCTTCTTCCAGCTCCCTGCGGTAGGGAGAAACAAGAGAGGTGAGGCGGCAGAAGAGCTCGGAGAAAACCTGATTCTTGTCCTGTGGTTGAAAAAGTGAACAAGTCATCGTCTTTCCAAGTCTATTTACTCATGGGTAAAATGGCTGTAGTCTCTGTCTCCATGAGATGTGAAGATTAAAGTGAAATAAATGTGGAAAGTGCGCATGACAAGCACTTTTAATGGGCAAGTCCCCATTAAAACAGTGACATTGAGGACTCTTGCAAACTTTAGGTGAGATAACTAGAGTCCATGCTCAATTCTTGCCTGGTATAGCAGGCCTAGATGGCTCCTCCAAATCCTCATTTCTGCTTTGGTTTGCCTTTAGATGCAGACTACTTTTCATACGATGTACTTTCATTCCCGTTCTGTTGGAAGGCAATTCACTTGTCATGTTCCTGCATGTCTTGAGAGAGCAGAGGCTCTAACTGCCTTTTTCCGAATATCTTTTCAAGGATGTTTCTGCATTGAATAGCCCTGCAAGGCAGAATTCTTGTCTCTCCAAGCAAAGATCTGGCAGACTTACTTCCAATTATAAGAGATTTGGGTTTCCTAAACTTGGGGTCCCTCTCCTATAATGCAACCTGCTGTGGCCTTTGTCACATAGTCTTGCAAGAATTAGGGCTCAGAAACTGACTCAATGACAATACTGTGACTATTATTGCTGTTAGTATTGTCCTTTGTCTCGGACCCAGGAGTCTCATATCTTTTACCAGTATTCGTGAAATTGGGGCATCCCAGTTAGTATTGAAACTCAGAAAACTGTACCCCAAAATGATGGCCTCAGAAGCAGAAGTTTTTCTCAGACCTCCTGCCCTCCTATCTCTCAGTTCCTCAAGGCAGCCATAGAAACTAGAATTCCTTTTCCCCGAGGCAAGTCATAGAAACCAGAACCCCTTTCTCCTAAAGCCAGTCTTGAAACCTTAAAATATTACTCTTTCTCTCTGCCTTTCTGTAGAAAAAGTGGCCATGAAGAAATTATCTCACCTACCTGAAAAGTTCTTTGAACTGGCTGCACCATAGGCCATACCCTAAGTTGAGTCATAGCAACCCCATGATTCCCAGGTACACCTTTAGATGCCCTCCTGGAGCCAGAGAGTCTGAAGTAAGAATAGCTAGCTCCTGCAGTGCCTGATTAATCAACCTTGTGACATTCCAGCATTGTTCTGGCTTAACCGATAAACCAACTTTATGACACTGGACCTTGTACCTTGTGACACCCCTCCCCCGGCAACACTCCCCAACCTGGCTTGCAAGAGCCACCCTGAACTGTAACTTCTATAACTTTCTACTGCCTACCCCAAACCTATAAAACCAACTCCTATCCCACTGTCCTCCAGTCACTTACTTTCCAGACTCAGCCCATCCACACCCAGGTGAATAAACAGCCATGTTGCTCACACAAAGCCTGTTTAGGGAGTCTCTTCATTCACAGCACATGTAACATTTGATGCCAAAAGCCAGGACAAGGGTAGTCCTTTGGGTGACTGACCCCCTGTCCCCACTCTCCCTCTGTGAAGAGAGCCACCTGCGACCTCAATGCATCAGACCAGCCCAACAATCCTCTTGCCACCTTCAGATTGGGTAAGCAGCCTCTCCCTCTTTCTCTTTCTTTTCCTTTAGAGAAAAGGAGACAAGTCTCTCCCTCTCTCTCTTTTCCTTTAACTATTTCTCCTAAGTAGAGACAAAGGGGACAGTCTTTATCCATGCAGAGACAGAGAGACAAGTCTCTCCCTCTTGCTCAAAAACTCTAACATCGGTCATGGACTCAGGAAGACAGTCTTCCCTTGTTGTCTGGTCAATAGTGGAGATACCTGCCTTGATCACTCACCAGCGTTAGAGCCCATTCAGTCAGGGACACCTACAAACCCTGGTAGCTGCTCACTTTTGCTCATGGCTGCTATACTCCTTTCCTTAATACTTATCTTCTTCACCAGGGACAATATTCTGCCCTCTATTCCTCTGTCTTCATCTGCAGCCTGCCTCCTAAAAAATCTAAAACCTCTCTAACTGTCACCCGGTCTGAAACCTAAACATCTCATATTTTTCTGTAACACAGCCTGGCCTCAATACAAATTAGACAGGGGTTCCAAATGGCCGGAAAACAGGCACTTTTAACCTGTCTATGCTGTGAGACCTAGACAATTTTTGTTCACAAATGGGGAAATGGTCTGAAGTGCCATACGTCCGGGCATTTTTTTTTTTGACACTCCAATCCCTCCCCAATCTCTGCTCTCAATATAATCCGTACCAAATTTTCCTTCTCTCCCCTCCATCTGCCCATCCTGCCTCTACCAGTGACTCAGCATCTTCCTTGTCCATCGACCCTTCTGACCTTTCTTCTCCCTGCCTGTCCGAACCAGACCCCAGTCCAAGCCCTAACCCCCTCCCAGACCCTCCCTTCTCTTTCTCTGCCCACAACCCACCTCCTTATGCCCCTCCTGTCACCTCATACCTCATACCTTGTCTGGCTTACAGTTTAGTCCCAGGAAACCTCCTCCACCCCTGCCCAACAATTCCCCCTTCGAGATCTGGCTGAAGACAAAGGCATAGTTAGGGTGCATGTGCCTTTTTATCCAACCTTTCCCAAATCAGCCAACAATTAGGCTCATCAAAATAAATAAACGTTTCAATATCTAACCCAGTCCTATACTTTAACTCTCCCCCCTGAAAAATGCTTAACATGCATTTTATCACCCAATCAGCCCCTAACATTACAGAAAAGCTACAGAAATTAAAATCTGACCCTCAAACCACACAACAGGAATTAATCAACTTCGCCTTCAAAGTGTTCAGTAATAGGGAAGCTGCCCGGCCGCAGCACGTCTCAAAACTGTAGATGCTTGACTCCACCGTAAGACAAACCCCAGCCACGCCACCAGCTCACAAGGACTTCAAAGTGCCCAGACTGCAGCATCCGGCTGCCCCTCCTGGACCTTGCTTCAGGTGTCAGAAACTGGCCACTGGACCAAGGAATGCCCACAGCCTGGGATTTGTCCTAAGCCCTGCACCATCTGTGCGGGGCCCCCACTGCAAATCAGACTGTCTACTCATGTTGCTGCTCCTTGGCTTGGCAGGTGAAAACTGACGCTTCCTGAACATCTTGGAGGTCCCCTGGACCATCACGTACACCGAGCTTCAGGTAACTCTTATGGTGAAGGGTAAGTCCATCCCCTCCTTAATCAACATGGGGCTACCCACTCCATGCTGCCTTCTTTACAAGGACCTGTCTGCTTGGCTTCCATAACTGTCATGGGAATCAACCGCAAGGCTTCCAGGCCTCTCAAAACTCCTCATGTCTGGTGTCAATTAGGCCAGCACTCCTTCCCACATTCTTTCCTAATCATCCCCACTTATCTAGTTCCCCTGTTAGGCCGAGATATCCTAACAAAATTGTCTGCCTCCTTAACTATTCCTGGGCTACAGCCGCACCTCATTGCCACCCTCTTCTCCAAACCCATACCTCCCTCGATAGCTCCCCATATGTCCCCCTACCTTAACCCTAGGGTGTGGGACACCACCTTCCCACCATTATTCACTCACTCCTTGCCTCACTCACCCCTTGCCATCCCATTAAAACCTGACCACCCTTATCCCACCCAGTACCAGTACCCCATCCCACAACAGGCTTTAAAAAGCCTAAAGCCTGTTATCACCCATCTGTTACAACGTGGTCTTTTAACTCCTACAAACTCACCTTACAGTTCCCCATCCTACCTGTCCAAAAACCAGACAAATCCTACAGAGCAGTCCAAGACTTCCGCTTCATCAGTCAGCTTGTACTTCCCATCCACCCAATTGTACCAAACCCCATGCCCTCCTATCGTCCATACCCCCTTCCACAACTCACTATTCTGTTCTTGACCTCGAAAACGCTTTTTTCTAAAGCCCAAATTTCCTCATTTGTTACCTATCTCGGTATAATCCTTTGCCAACATTCATGTACTCTTCCTGCCAACCATATCCAGTTAATTTCCCAAACCCCAGCCCCATCCACTAAACAACAGCTCCTCTCCTTCCCAGGTGTTGTAGGATAATTTCGCCTCTGGATAGCAGGTTTTCCCTCCTAACCAAACACTTTATAAACTTACAAAAGGAAATTTAGCTAACCCTGTAGACCCCAATCCTTCCCCATCTTCCTTTCATTCACTAAAGGCGGCCTTAGAAACAGCCCCTCCACCAGCACTCCCCAACTCCTCCCAGCCCTGCTCCCTTCACATGGCAGAAGTAAAAGCCTGCGCAGTCAGGGTTCTTACACAAGAGCTAGGCCCAAGACCAGTCACCTTCTTGTCTAAACAACTTGACCTCACAGTCCTAGGCTGGCCGTCATGTTTAGGGGCCACAGCTGGTGTGGCTATAATACTCCTAGAATCCCTTAAAATTACAGGCTATGCTCCACTGACTCTCTGTAGCCCTCACAACCTCCAAAGTTAGTTTCCTCTTCACACCTCACACATTGACTTTCAGCCCCTCGCCTTCTCCAGCTTTATGCGCTTTATTGAAACCCCCACAGTAGCCATTGCTCTTGGACCTGACTTCAACCTAGCCTCTCACTTCGTACCCAACACAAACCCTGAACCCCATGACTGTATCTCACTAATTCATATAGCATCCTCCCCGTTTCCCCATATTTCTCTTTTTCCTA